TGGGTATTGTATGATCAGATCGAATCCTTCTTTATCTAGCTAATCTTTATTTTATCAATTGCGCTTCACTCTACATTGTCTACATTAGAGCCATGTCATCGCTGAAAGTGGTTGAATAAAAGAAATCCTGTTTGGTCATTCACTACCCAATAAATGTCAGCGTGACTGGAGTCAATGTCGACACCAAGCACGTGGGTCAAACCCAAACCGTTCACGGCTGATCGCAGATAGACAGATGTGTTGTAGCGTAGGAGGGATGTAAAACAGGAGTCCGTAGTGCAATGGTTCGAGCACGTGCCCCCGGATAGGGCGAGACGTAGGTTTGAGTCCTGTCTGACGCAGCTTTGCACATCACTCTACACATTTGGGCATATTTGTAGCATCAAGCATCATCACGCCGCTAATAACGGCTAGATAAAATAGATTTGATGCTCCAATATCTGTGGATGGCTCGCCCAATAGGTTTAATTCTGCTTTTATGAGCGAGATTCTCCTCGATTTTTATTTCTTGATGTCTTTATGTTGATTTTTCAACGCAGCAAATCAACCTTTGCCAGATGGCTTTCTTAGCAATCAAAGATAGTATGGATACAATAGCCTTGTAAATGCTTACTTAAAAATGAATAACTTAATAGCGACTAGTGTTGCTTTGAAACTCCGTTGACGAAGCTGTATCAACGTAAATTCACCTTATCCCAAAATTAGTGGTCTATTCAACATCAGCAGTCGCTTTGATAGGAGAAGAAGGTGACGAGATTTGACGATAAGCCCGGCAGTAGTAAGCTAATCGTATGCATTGACAATCGGACAATTGTTGAGTTATATGACTCAACAAATTGATAAAAAAAATAAACGAGCATAGAAAATACCTCAACACCTGGGCAACTTGAAACTTCCATGTATATTAGAAGAACGGATGAATGATTATGGTTTGTTCTCTGATGTAGCTTGAATACTTAGCCCTTTAGAGGAGGCAGTAAATCGATCGCACAGCGAAACCCACAATAGGCACTCGATTTTTGTTATTCAGTTTAGATTTCTCCTTAATTTGGAAACTAAAACCCTAGGTTTTTGTATTCGTCTGATACTCCATGATTTTCTCTACATGGTCATACATTCTTTGTGCATATATATGCTTTCTGTACGATAAAAATTTTGAGTGTGAAACATGATCTTCTTTTGCTATTACAGCGTACTATAATAACCTTTCAAAAAGCCAATAACAGCATCGAAACTCTCGAGATTTTGGCCATCCAGTAATCAGTAAGAATTTGGTGAAGAGCCATATACAAGCCTTAGCTGAACAAATGAATCAAACGGAGCTGTGAAACATGACATCCTCTCGCTGCACAGCGTGACGAAAAGGTCATATAATTCATTTTATTTAACTGCTTTGGCGGTGGTAAGATTTTATAAATATACCCAGTGATGTAGAGTGATGTGAAAAACTTTTGCGTCAGGCGGGACTCAGACCCACATCTCACTCTATCAGGGAGCGCATACTCTAACCCGATGCACTGACGCCTATTTTGCACACCAGCTCTTCTATCTGCCAGCCGCCGCTCCGTCAACGGTAGGCCCGGCTAGTCAGTAGCAACATTGAACCCAGTCACACTAACAGTATTAACTACAGTGACTACTGGGTAGTAAAGATCAAATGTGTTCATGTTCATGTCACCTGTATCACCTGTCGTCCCGTTCATCGTGAAAATACTCGAGCTGGTACCAGCAACACTTCCATTGTTCCCTATCGCGTGCAAGAGTAGTCCAGTATGTCCGCCTCCCTCTAGGAATTCGCTAAAATCTCAGTGCCATATTCATGTCTTTATATAAAATCTTACCATCTCTGAGCAGGCTCAAAAAGAATGAGTCCATTTGATCTCTATTACATAATATCTGTCGACGTAACTGAGTTCAATGTCGATAATGACCACCCGAGGCAGCCCGCTGACGGTTGGCGGTTGACAGATAGATGTGCTCTGTCGTAGAAAGAGTGGTGTGTAAAATGGGTGTAACCTCTAGTGCAATGGTTTAGAGCGCGCGCTCCCTGACAGAGTGAGATGTGAGTTCGAGTACCACATGAAGCGAAAGTTCTGCACTTCACTTTACATCACTGTGTAATAAAAAAGCCTTCATGAAAAACCAAACATACTCTCGAAATCGCAGAGATTCGAGCTTTTGAATAATTACCAAATTTTGAAAGAGAAAATTGCTCAGCGAGAAAGGCTTTCATACAATTGTGTACTTCAGCTGGTACACGCCGGCCCTCAAGGTTTAAGAACCCTTAGCAGTTTTGCAGCTTCTTTGATCATCGAACAATCGCAATGAGGAAGGAGATGGGTAAAAATAAAGGAATCCAAAGCTGAAATCTGTTAAAATTTTTTATACAGATCGCAACTCAACCATCTTATGACACAACCATTTTAACAGAGGCACTTTTATAAAAACCTTGATTACACACAGCAAAGGAGCAAATGACAGTAGTACTTTTTACTCATGACATCATATTATAATGCAAAAAGTTTAATCATGAACTCTCCACGAACATTCTAAATGAAAGCTGTCCAAAGTATATGTGGAGGTGCAAACGAGGTAGTGAAATTTCAATACACTTATGGATAAACGCTAACTTTTGACATCAGTTGATGAAGGACAGTTGAAATCACAAATTTGCAGGATCTAAATAGATGAAAACAGTTGTCAGCAACAACAAATCTCCATAAAAGGAGATAAACAACGATCTAAGACAGGAACACTAGATAACACTAACTACTATGATTAAATAACTACGAAAACGAAGGAGGACTGCATTCCGTGGATGATTCAGTGTATTGCTGAGAGTCCTCCATGTATATGTTCTAAAAAATCCAGTGATAAAAGCAGATGTTAGGTTGATTGGAATATCATTTTTAATATACCAAGTGCTAAGTCACTTTGAATTAGAAGTATACAATATACAAAGACACATGAAAGCATTCCCCATAGACGATCAGCCACTACTTCAAACGCTTTCATAATGCACTTATATACTTAGATCTTCAATGACTTGTCTTTACATGTCAGTGTCAACACCTCTCTCGTACATTTCTTTGTTTTCTAAATTTATTTCTATGTGAATCAAACACAATATGAAAAATGCTTTCTCTCATTATGTTGAATGCCTAGCTATAGAGTACTCAGAATTTCGCCATGGACGACCACCAATCTTTTGGAATTATAGAAGATTCGCTTGCATGGCAGTTGAAACTCCTTTAGAACGATGGAAAAATCTACTAGTGACCAAATGAGCGCAG